TAGGTGGGGATACCCCTGGAGATTTTGAGGGTGGAGACTGTGGGGGGCGGGGTTTGGGGTGGGGAGGGACCTCAGCAGGCCACCCTCCAAAGCAACCATATTCCTCCAGGGAACCTGACCTCTGTCACTCAGGGATCAGTTGAAATCCCAGGAGATCTCCAGCCACCTCCTGGAGGTTGTATCCATATAAAGACACTCCGTGAATGAATTACGAACAAAAGCAAAAGGATTATACTGTACAAAACAATTCAAACAGTTTTAAATCTTTGTTAAAGTTCAACAAGCCCTTATATATTTTTAAACAGCTAGGATCAAAAAGTACTTGGTATAAAGGGGAAACTCTAAATGAAGTGGGGCGATTGGATTTAGAAAACTAGTTTAAGGAGAATCGTTGAATCTTCGTTTCAGTAAGTATGTATGTTCTGACAACTGGGGATGCAGTAAATATGTTATAATATAGTGGATGTAAGATAGAAGATTGGAGCTGCAGTGGCTCAAGTGGTTAAGATGCTAAACTGCAGGCTGTGGAAGGTCAGTAGTTCAGCAGTTCCCCACCGAAGCAGTACCTATTTATCTACTTGCAATTTCTTGCTTTCGAACTGCTAGGTTGGCAGGAGCTGGGACCAGAGACGGGAGTTCATCTTGCGGCACTTGGGTCTCGAACTGCTGAACTACCGACCTTCCAGCCTGCAGTTCAGCGTCTTAACCACTTGAGCCACCGCAGCCCCCAAAAAGACATTACTCAGCTTCAGTTTTTTCCACCCGGCACACTGAAGACACAATATTCCGTTTTCACAACTGCTAAGAATAAAGAGAAATTCAACTAGGGAAAGTGATTATTTACAGGACTCTGAACAACTTCTTTGTGCCTTTAGGAATAGGGGCTATCCTTTAAATGTGTTACTTAGAGCTAAGGGAAGGGTTGAACTATGTGAAAGAAAATCCTTATTTGAGAAACCAATTGTTCTCCCCCCCACCCCCATCATCAGGTGTTACATGGGCAATGGATTATACTCCTCTTTCCTTCTCTATCAAAAGGATTATTACCAAATACTGGCCACTCCTT